CTAGTGGTCATATCGGCTTTGGTAAATGTGTGATTAAATGTTTTATTCAGGTTTGTAAAAAATTAAATGTTGTCAACCGTTGTGAATTAAATATATATGCAGACGTTAAGAGGCAGAGGAAAAATGTTATTTTGGGACACAACAACATAATAGTAATTTCAGTTGTTTTAAACGTTTAACAATGATTTCACAAATCAGTTGAAATCATCACCATTCCGAAACGAAACACCGTTCATTATTCCAAACATTATAATGCAACAGTCATATAGAAAATAATAATGATAAAAATGAGTTAAAAAATACAAAAGAACGACAACGAACTTAAACACCGTTTTAAACATTAAAAAACTACAATAATACGATTTTGTTTCCTATGCAAATATGAACTGTTAAAGTCGATAATACCTTCTCTTTGTTTGAGGTCATGTATAAAGTATAATTAAGTATGTAACTATTTTTCCAATTTTATCAATTTTCACATTAACTTATTTTGATGAAGTCCCTTAGCTTTATCTTTCATCCCTTGCTAATCTGATACATCTCCGTTCAATTTATGTGCATCCTACCGGACGGATTTTGATAGTCCTGTGTATTTTGATTCTTATCCTAATTTTCTTGAGTCATGTATGATAATGTGACAGAGGCACGTCAAGTAGTCATATCGACTTTGGTACAAGTGTGTTTAAGGTTTTATTTAGGTTTGTAAATGATCCAATATTATCAACCATTTTAAACTAAATAGCCATACATAAATAAGGAGGCAAAGGAAAATGTGATATCGGTACACAAACAATGTTTATTCTTTTCCGTAGTTTTAACTGCTAAACAATAATTAAGAATAATTTTAAAAAATCAGTTAAAAAATACCATTTGGAAATGAAATACCGTTCATTATTCGATACGTTGTAACGCATTAATCATACGTTATATCTTATATCCCTAAGCAGATGTCAATTTTAACCATCAACAACCCACGCTTTGTTTTTGCAATCCCGTGTGACATATAAACTGATTTCTTATTCTGTCTTAAAAAGAAAATTCATTTTTAAAACAATAACTCGTTATGCCGACGTTCCCAATACAGCATATAGTATTGTTTATTAATCCCAAATTCAAAAAATGATTTCGATCAAATCTTCAAGCGTCTCCTCCCATATATTGCCATACAATAAACAACCATATTGATTTCCTATTTTTGATTTCGAGAACAATTATAACAAAGGAAGCATGAATATAAATAATGAGGCACTAAGAAGCTATTTGAAAAACGTCAAGCTATGTAAATTAGTCGTCAACAATGCCTGCATCATAAACAAACAGCATATATACGTTTAAAATCATCGTGTATTGGAATACTGTCTTTGTATGGATATTTATAATCTCAGGTAATTTGAAAAACATTTTTTATGGAAAAGAAATAATAGCCTTGTTGTCATGCATGCCATCACAGCCATTAACAGTCAAACACGTTATGATTGAATGCGCTAATTTCAAACAAATACGTGAAGGATTGTATGATGTACCGTCTATAAAAGAGTATTCGATACAGTTTCTGTGCAATTGATATAGGACTCTTAACACTCTATTGATCTCTACAATAAAATATGATATATTGTGCAGCCAATTTGTTAAATATTGATGTATTTCTTGAATCTTTTACATATTTTAATCTATAAATGTTGGTTTGATGTGTTTTCTTTCGTGAATGTCTCTTTTTACAGCATTGTTAGGCCCTAAATGACCCACATTGTCAATGGGCTATTAATCAATATAAAAAATAAATAAAAATAAATAAAATATTTTTCCTCCCTGAAAATGTGTGGCATTGCAATTAAAAGTTGTTATATTTGAAAATAAATTCCGAAAAGAATATTAGAATATAGTGTTCAGACCGACTAAGGAGTGTTAATGCGATTGTAAGGAGCACCCTGATCTCAATTTCATGTTGTAAAAAAATCACGAATGATGCTTAGACATTAAATTTTTAATTGCATTTCTTTATTTTGGATTTTTTTTATAAAACATTACAAGCAATGAGGACTAAGGCATTATTGTGATATGAATTGCTACAGCTGCAGAACAAAAATATTGTATAGGCATTGAATCAACAGATGTATATATGCGGTGCCTATAATTATCAGGTTTTCGTTCTGTCTATCTGTTCGTTTTTTATCTGTCTACTTGAAATCTTATGAAGTAAGGTCAAAATTCGATCAAATGTGGTTGACATACTACTAACCCAAGTTTCTTTCTCGGGTTGGATGATTGACAATATTCAATTAGGCTGCTGTATTCTGATTGGCTGGTTCATAAATGTGCTGTCTTCTGAATGAATCATCTCAATTTGATCAAGCTTGGTTGGTTTCCTAAGATACAAAATTCTAGAAATATCCTGTGATGAAATGATAAGAATTTGATTAACTTTGACGGGTATACTACCCATGTCCTTCCCTAATGATCTTACTTCGGTTTTTATGATAGACAAATTTTCAGGATGTTTTTAATGAGGCTGATGAGTTGCTTATGCTTTCTGTTCAATACTTTTTAGAAGGAATTATCAGAATTTGATGGAAATGCCTGTAATACAATTTACGCAATTCTCTCGCTTGAGTTCATCGGTTAATGATATTTTAATAGATAGCCTACATACATATTACACAATCATACTACATACAGTTGTGTGACCGCAGAACTCACCAAAAACAGCGATCACATTTTTAGACAACGCTTAAGTAGTTTCGATTTGGCAGTTGAAGGGTCGAACATATCGAGAGAAATATCATTAATGACCAGTACATTCTCGTATATTCGCCTTGACCTCTCTAGACTGAGAACAGTTAATGCATTTTTAAAGCAATGCAAAATGCATTCACTTGCCGGATCATTGCCCAGGAAATGCTTTTTACGCGTTGCAAAGTATTTTTTTGTGAAAACTTCTTGGGTTAGTGATCTAGTTTTCTGGCTTCCAATGACTTATCAATGTCATTGTTATTAATTGATGAAAAGTTAACTTTAACAAGTGTTATAACATTGTATTTATCACTCCTGTTCGCTCGGATGGAAACTCGCACTTGCCTTAATATAAAAGGAAACCAGAATACACGGTAAAACCTCTAGTTTGCGAACAACTGACGTCATTTTCTAACGATCGAAAGTGGAATCAAACATTGGTCTTCTTGTTGAAAGGCGAGTGTGTTATCCACTGCACCATCTTAACAGTATGTGTGTGATGTGTGAGAAAAAATAACGATAAAAGACCCTTTTCAAAAACTCTTCATGATTAAATAGTTTGATACTCCTTATGAACAATTCATGTCGAGAAATTGATAAGAGACAATGTTTTCCTGGCGTTTTTAATCCGTCATGGAGAAATCCTTAACAGTTCAGCCATACGGTTTAGGGGCATCTGTCGGTGAATGTATTGCTAACAAAAACGTCTTTCAAGCATAGTAGCAAATGCAACTTCTCGATTTGTTCACCTAGCCCCTCTGAATTCAATTATATGCATCTATTTTGAATCAAAATCATCTCCCGACAGCATTTATACATTGTTATTAACATTGTAATAAATGCGTGATCTATTTTACGCTTAAATCTATTGATATCGTACTTTCTACAGTTTGAATTATCCATGTGGCACCCTCTCAGTGCTGCTATTTCGGTCGTAGCTTTTTTTATCATCGGCGTTCCTCATATATGTTACTGCCCACACTGGACGTTTGCTTCAGGTCATGTCATTACAAATGTATCAACTACGTAAACTTTTGTTATCAGATATATATTTTCACTATCGACTTGATTTTCAGGTAATCAAAAAACCTTACTTCAATAAATTGTCCCTTTAACATCGCCATGTAATACTGGATCGTATTTTATTATTACATTGTAAAGATCATCTGTATTTATGCTTAATATGTACATTATGTCTATGTACTTCTTGTCTTTATAGGGTCGAGCGATGCAAGTTGCAAAACAATACGGACGCAAAATAATTGTTGAGATCTTAAAGAATTGGCAAGTTAAACAGGTATCAATAACATTTACCCGATCTTATTTTCTCTGTCACGTGATAACCTGAAATGGAAATTATGCATGCAAACTTAATAATGATAATTCACGACACTTTGACAATTTTCATACTTTTGTCTTCTGAAATTTTATTCCTTAAATATCTCTTTATTCAAGGACAGGATTATTCGATCCGAATTTATTGCAATGACAAACATATATTGGAAATTAAATCTGCATTGAATGTAGTCAAAATCTAAATAATCTAGGTGCAATTTCAATGTGAGATTAAACGTGTATGTTAGACATATGTTTATGATAACCCATGCCAACTCTGGGATATTTGACATGTAATGAATTGGTATCAAATTAACGTTTACTCATACAAATGTACCATCAACATTACCTGTAGCCAAATCGATGTCAAATATAACGTAGTCGCTCATATACTTATAAATAGTGACTTCATGTATGTAGACACAGTTACATTCATATTCTCCATTCAACGCTATTACAGACTATCATCCAATCATTGACTTTATGGCAGTTTGGCAACAAATTTTGACTCATAAACAGAGTTGTTATGAGGGATGTTCGTTTTGTTTTTGTAGCATTTAAAATGTGATAGTGGCTTAATAATGTATGCCTGTCAATGATAGGTGTAAAATAAATTTCAGATATCCTAACTTCCCCCTAAATGAACATGTCCAAGTCTTCTTGTATTATGATGCTAGAATGGTTCTCTACTGCTATTGTTCGTATTGCATTACTGAACTTAATCGCTGAGTTATACGACAGAAAGACGTGTGAACATTGAAATATCAGAATTTCACTGCTTTCAGATGCGGTTCATATGCAATATGAATGTCAAATGCATTACAAGAAAATGACATGAACTGCGTTATGTCATTTTCCTGTAATGCAATTGGCATTCTTACTGCTTATGAACTGCACCTGAAAGAATACTTATATGAGACTAACGNTCCAAACGAGCCCAAAAAGCAATATCGATTCATCGGGACAATCTTTGGAAAAACCATAGCAACTTAAACATTATAAGCGTTAGTCCTGTGATATACCGGAACAATGGTGCAGACATCATCAATAAAACATGTATCGTACTACAATGTAGTACAAAAGGTGTAGTACCACTGGGAGAACCTGAGTTCCCAACGCAGTTATACATAGGAGAGGACGATTCGATAGATGTTGATGTGCATGAAGGCTATTTCAAACGTGGTGGATATAGTTCACTTCCAAGTATTGTCTACCATACCAGTCTCAAAATGGGTTGTAATATTGGACGACTCACCCCAGAGTATGATACACAGGGAAATCTCCTCCAAAATCTTGGTGGCACACAAGGTCCATTTGTTGAGTTCAATAACAAGATTGGCTTTTTTACTTGCGCTCACGTACTGTTTGATATTCCTATGACAACACAATCTGTGGATTTCCAACATCATGGGAACACTAAAATTGAAGTCGTACAACCTTCCATTGATGCAACAACGTCCAATGGTGTAGCATGTGGACATGTTTTCAGAGCAATTTTTAATCCACAACTGGATCCAAGCATTGATGTCGCTGTCGTTGAATTGACTGACTTAAATAGGGTCCCCAGAAAAGGCCAATTCTCCAACGCTAACCGCAGTAGCTATACAGATGCAGGTATGTTTATCCGAAGTAAGGGATTTTGCTTATATCTGAATGTAGAAAATGTATTGTATTTAGGTCTAACAAACGACCCTTAATAACAGAGTCTCGTTTGCTTACAGTTCATTATTTCTCAGTATTTAAGACACCTTGCATGAGTTTTCTTATGGATAGGAATGAAAGTGTTTTAACTAGCGAAGCTCAAATGTATATTATTTCCGTAAACATATTGAACATTCTTTCTGATATTTTCGATTATGACCTTTTGACCAAAATACCCGTCGTCTTACTGTAAGCTTCTGGAAACAGGCAAGTTGAATAACGAAAGAAATAGGAACGAAAATGTTCATGTATATAAATATATATTGTCATTTGGTATGATATCTGAACTTTTTGTTACATGCATTGTACAATATATCAGTTGAACACAATTATTAAATACCACGGTGTTGTTTCATTATAGGGTTCGACGAACTTCCCGAGTACAACAGTGGATCCATTCAGATTGATTTGAAACATTTCTGTACAACGCATACAGTGTTCAAATTTGGCAGCTCCAGTGACGTCACCAGGGGAACACTTGACGTGTGTGGAGTGGATGTAAGACCGATGACAACAACGCTTGGTTTGCCTAGAGGTACAGGAAAGATCCAAATGATCAACCAGTATCAAGTGTGCGGTTCCGCTCCAAGCATGACTTTTTTCCTGAACGGTGATTCGGGTTCAGCGGTGTTTATGAGAACGCCTGGAACCAATGTTATGCACTTAATCGGAATGGCTATAGGATGTACGTATGTGGGTACAAACCCATTCCCAGCAGCAGTTGTTACACCTATTAATGCTATATTGAGGGCGCTAGGGCCACACTATTGCATTGCCTCGTTTCCGTGATTATAGTGCTACAACAGTCCTTCCTGCAATTTGTTTTGTTAGAAAAATAAATCACATTCTAATCAATATTCATTCGTTACATTTTGTAAGTGTTTTACCGCATACTACCAAATTGAACAATCTATGTTTCCTTCGAGTTTATGTGGAATATATCATACCACGGTTGTAAACTGTAAGTTATTTACAGTGTAAGTTAGAAATTACAGTCTTTGTAACTTATCTACAGTTTATGTATGTAATCTACAGTTTATGTATGTAATCTACAGTTTGTGTATGTAATCTACAGTTTGTGTATGTTATCTACAGTTTGTGTATGTAATCTTCATTTTGTGTATGTAATCTACAGTTTGTGTATGTAATCTACAGTTTGTGTATGTAATCTACAGTTGTTTATGTAATCTACAACTAGTGTACGTAATCTACAACTTGTGTATGTAATCTACAGTTTGTGTATGTAATCTAAAGTTTGTGTATGTAATATACAGTTTGTGTATGTAATCTACAGTTTGTGTATGTAATCTACAGTTTGTCTATGTAATTTACAGTTTGTCTATGTAATCTACAGTTTGTGTATGTAATCTACAGTTTGTGTATATAATCTACAGTTTGTGTATATAATCTACAGTTTGTGTATGTAATCTACAGTTTGTGTATGTAATCTACAGTTTGTGTACGTAATCTACAACTTGTGTATGTAATCTACAGTTTATGTATGTAATCTTCAGTTTGTGTATGTAATCTACAGTTTGTGTATGTAATTTACAGTTTGTGTATATAATCTACAGTTTATGTATGTAATCTACAGTTGTTTATGTAATCTACAACTAGTGTACGTAATCTACAACTTGTGTATATAATCTAAAGTTTGTGTATGTAATCTACAGATTGTGTATGTAATCTACAGTTTGTCCATGTAATCTACAGTTTATGTATGTAATCAACAGTTTGTGTATGTAATCTACAGTTTGTGTATGTAATCTACAGTTTGTGTATGTAATCTACAGTTTGTGTACGTAATCTACAACTAGTGTACGTACTCTACAACTTGTGTATGTAATCTAGAGTTTGTGTATGTAATCTACAGTTTGTGTATATAATCTACAGTTTGTGTATGTAATCTACACTTTGTGTACGTAATCTACAACTTGTGTATGTAATCTACAGTTTATGTATGTAATCTTCAGTTTGTGTATGTAATCTACAGTTTGTGTATATAATCTAAAGTTTGTGTATGTAATCTACAGTTTGTGTATGTAATCTACAGTTTGTGTATGTAATCTACAGTTGTTTATGTAATCTACAACTAGTGTACTTAATCTAAAACTTGTGTATATAATCTAAAGTTTGTTTATGTAATCTACAGTTTGTGTATGTAATCTACAGTTTGTCTATGTAATCTACACTTTGTGTACGTAATCTACAACTTGTGTATGTAATCTACAGTTTGTGTATGTAATCTACAGTTTGTGTACGTAATCTACAACTTGTGTATGTAATCTACAGTTTATGTATGTAATCTTCAGTTTGTGTATGTAATCTACAGTTTGTGTATGTAATTTACAGTTTGTGTATATAATCTACAGTTTATGTATGTAATCTACAGTTGTTTATGTAATCTACAACTAGTGTACGTAATCTACAACTTGTGTATATAATCTAAAGTTTGTGTATGTAATCTACAGATTGTGTATGTAATCTACAGTTTGTCCATGTAATCTACAGTTTATGTATGTAATCAACAGTTTGTGTATGTAATCTACAGTTTGTGTATGTAATCTACAGTTGTTTATGTAATCTACAGTTTTGTATATAATCTACAGTTTGTGTATGTTATCTACAGTTTGTGTATGTACTGTTCAGTTTGTGTATGTAATCTACAGTTTGTGTATGTAATCTACAGTTTATATATGTAATCTACAGTTGTTTATGTAATCTACAACTAGTGTATGTAATCTACAACTTGTGTACGAAATCTACAGTTATTTTATGTAATTTACAGTTTGTGTATTTAATCTACAGTTTGTGTATGTAATCTACAGTTTGTGTATGTAATCTACAGTTTTTGTATGTAATCTACAGTTTATATATGTAATCTACAGTTTATGTATGTAATCTACAGTTTATGTATGTGATCTACAGTTTGTGTATGGAATATACAGGTCGTGTATGTAATATTCAGATTGTGTATGTAATATTCAGATTGTGTATGTAATATTCAGATCGTGTATGTAATAATCAGATTGTGTATGTAATCTACAGTTGTTTGTGTAATCTTCAGTTTATGTATGTATTTTAAAGTTTGTGTATGTAACCTACCCTTTATGCAAATAATCTACTGTTCATGTATGTTATCTACAGTTTGTGTATATAATCTACAATTTATGTATGGTATTTACAACTTGTGCATTTTATCTAGCTAATACCAATAATCTACATTGTGTGTATATAATGTACAGATTGCGTTTGTAATCTACAATCAATGTCTTTTAATGGCAGTCTGTGTAATTAACCTACATATGTTGAAGGTAAGATATTGTTGATGTAATTAATCTACATGATATCTTTTGAATCTGCGGTTTGGGTAGGTAATATATAGTATATGAAAGCAACTTTCAGTTTATGTAAGTAAGCTACATTTAACTTAGTTAAGTAAATTTATACTTAGTAGAGTATATTCGGTATCTTTGTATGTAATCTGATTCTATTTACTGTAGTCTTCAGTTGAAGTAAGAATTTTACAGTTCATTCATTAATCTATACATTATGTTATTTATGGAAGTTTTATGAGAGTTATGAACAGCTTATATTGCAATTTATAAATGCAATCAACACTTTATAAATGTAATTTGCAGTTTGTGTTTATAATTAAAAGTGTATGTAGGTAATACACATATCTGCTTGTAATCTACAGTTTGTAAAAGATTCTACAATTGTTTATGTAATCTATAGATTATGTAGGTAACCTTCAATCTATACTGTAATCTATATTTATGTTCACGTTTGTAGTTTTTAGGGTATGTAAGACATATACAGTGTGTGTTACAGTCAGAATTATGTAGCTTAAGTAATTAATATACAGTTAAAAGAAGTCGTCTTTTGACTTTTATTTAATCTATAGTTTATGAACATTTATGTGATTTACAGCGTATGTAAGTAATCTACAGTCTCTGTTTGTACTCTAGAGTACACATGAGTAATATGTAGTCTTGTATTTAATCCGTAGCGTATCCATATATGTATGTAATTTACATTGTGTGTAAGTACTCGAGAGTTTATGTCAAGTTTTGTGTAATGTAATTTACACGTTGTGCTAGTAAGCTACAATTGGTTTTACAATCTTTATTTTATGTAGGTTAACTAAGGTTTATGCAAATATCTGTGTTTTGTATTTAGTTAATTATTTACACCAGAAGCTGATAGAATTATCATTCCGTACTTACGGTGCTTTTCATTAATATTAGAGATTATACTATGATAATTGAGATCATATAAAATGCCGCGACAAACCAAAGTCCTTAAAATTGGTATTTGTTATTCTCTGCTTAACATTCAGCAATTAGGGAAATGGCATCAATTGGTTCACCCATTACCAGACTATGTAGCCGGACGGTCTCAGAGAATCCTATGATGGGTATGGGCATCGTATTTCAGTGAAATGGCACAATAAATTTAGCATTAGATCTGCCCTTACGAAAGGAGACAATCACACCAACATACTCTGCCGTCTCCGGCACACTTACACACATGTACGCATACATCACACACATGGAGGCACGTCCTTAATTTACCTTAGCTGTTAATACGACGTTAAACCTTACAAAACCAAACCAAAATATCTAATGTCTTTAGTCTTGATATATTTAAAGTTCAAAATCAATTTCAAATCCAATCATAACCTTCCCTTAAGTGATCAGAGCCTGTCTGCATTATTATTATTTACTTTTGTTCCTATATTTTGTATGTTCTGTGTTTTCGAACTAATCTACATGTGCGATTAAACAAGCACACACACACACTGTTGATGATTTGCCATTTACGTATGTCGTAGTTATTAGATTGAAGTGTCTATAAGAGTATATTTTTAATTACATGCAAATTGCATAATGTAACCCTCTTGAAATCCTACAATGTATATCATCTTACCAATTACATTTAAAATATCTTGCCATTTTCAGCTTCAAGATTGACGTCATAACAGTACAGTTTCGCCCCATAATATAATTGTTAAGACTATAAATAAATTTAACATGAAGTAACCATTTTATTCGAATTGATGATTTTTTTTTATGAAGCATTCTCTTTCTTGAAATATTAATATATTTCGACAGAACAAAACATCAACTTAAATTTTACCCCGTATTCAGTTGTAATTGATACTGTAGTTAATGTCACAATGAAGCGTTTTACTCATGTTACCATTTTTTTCATAAATCACCATTGAAATTATATTATATAGGAACCAACATAAAAATAACAAAATAAAATGCTAAAGATGTTTGATGATATATTTAATTTTATTAAGAGTAAAAGTTATTTCAAAATCTTGAAGAAATACTCAAATACTCCAGATCGGTAGTGTAGTAAGACTTGTTGCTCAGTAAATCTGTACGAATCATTTCTGTCTTAATGCTTTATTTTACTATATGATATAATTTGTATCTGTTTGAATTGACGCTGAATGAAATTTAACAACGCAGTGTCAAACGAATTGATAATAGCATTAGCGTTTTCCACACATGATCATATTGACATTGGTGATATATTTGAAATTATAAGAAATCAAGAAAAAAGACTGTGTACACAGTAGTAATGCTTGCTATTCATTGTAATGGTTATTTCAATCATTGAAACACGTATATAGGTATTCTTGTATATATATATTCCATGTTAAGATTTTTTCCCGACAAACGTGATTTCAGATACTAAACGTCTGATGACTTATTTTCGACAAACTAATATATGATAGTTACGTCTCTTGTAATGTTTATGGTCTAATAATTATTGAAAGCCTATTTACAAAATACACAAAACAAATGAAAACAGTATCAATATTTGTGTGTGATTTCTTATAAAAATGATTGAAATGTAATTTTGTTCCATGAGTGTTTTATCATTATTTAATAATACCATGTCATAAGTGAAATAACGATCACATTATGTTTAATGAAAAAAAAAAATTATGCTAATTAATGCTATGAAGATGATTTACGGCATTTTGCAAATGAATTTCCAAATATTATTGGTTAAGACCTGTCACATGGTGGATTTTAATATAAACAGACCCTGCCATAACGTCATAATCAATTTATGGTATCGACAAATACTCACTCATAGTTTGACGTCAGATTTGACTTGATGATGCTATGGCAGTTTTCTATGTTAAATATAGTACAGTGTAGATAGCAAGCTTTAAATAAGATCTGCAAATCAACACAAGGTTTTGTTCCTTCAAGGTTTTAGTTCAAATAAGTGAATCACTTTCGATGAATGTTTATTGTTCAAAATTATTTCTCAGACGTTAATATAAAAAATACGGAAAAATAATAAAAAAAAACATATAACGGGTAACATGCATTTGAAAATACATCACTCCAAATGTACCGTCTGTTGGCATGAGTCTCTCGCCAGTCTCCTCCCTGAAAGCCTATAACGTCAATAAAATATAATTTACTTACCTGGTTCTCGGTATTGTTAGCATAGAAAACCAGCTTCAGACATAGTAATGATACAAAGTAATCGTTATAGAAACCTCTGATCATGTTTCGATTACCAAACCAGTTTGGTAATTTGTTTAAACACAATTGCCATTGTTCAAATAATTCATGTCAGATAATTCCGCTGTTTGATAGGTTACAGTATCTTCAACACTGAAGTCATAGTTAAATCAAATATTAATTTTTGAAACTTATTAAAGAAACGTTTTTGTTTTAACTTTTATTCCCAATATATTGTTTCAATAATGTTATCAAAATGCTGACAATCTTGACACTTTTGAATTTCTTAGAGTTTACTTGTATATCAATATGAACTAGCTTTATTTCTAGCATATTTCATTGATGAAATAATCGTAAAGCTAGTCATTTAAATGGATATTTGACATCAATGCTGAATAATTGTTTGCAAATTTAATAAAAATCAATATCATTCATCTTTAAATGCTTGTTTATTTTTTTGGTTTACGTCATATCAACAGTTATAGTCATTTAAATACGTGGCAGGTTTTTGTGGTAGAGGAAAGACAGATAATCCGGGGAAAAACACACCTACCTGTGGTCAGTACCTGGTGATTGGATCACATAAGCCTCGATCCAGCAACCTAGCAGTGGAGAGAAGGTGATCATAGACGGTCAGATGTCTTAACATCTCGGTCATCGCGATCCCCATCGTTATGTTATAATCATATTACCAATCATATAACTGGAAAATGTCACACGTATGTTTAGTCAGAGGTGATAGACTTATTAATATTAATATAACACTTGTCCCTAAGACCTGACATTGAGGGGGCTTAGCAAAAATAAAGTCGAAATTAATGTACAGACAGACAGATGGACGATTGATGACGGATGACAGGCCATGCCAAAGCACTTCTTGTCTTCAACCATGTTTTGTGTCATATTAACAGCTTCGGTCATTTAAGGACATGTCAGGTTTTTGTGGTGGAGGAAAGCTAGAGTTCCCGGAAGAAAAAACCCGACCTGCGCCGAATACCTGGCGACAACCCCACGATCCTCGAACCCGTGTACACTTGCATTACTTATGTATCTCAACTTTGCAA